CAAAAGCAATCTAAAACTACTTGATTCTGTCCACCACAAAGGCCTAAGTCTTTGTATTGGGTCTTTTAGAACTTCTCCTGTTGACAGTTTCTATGATGAGGCAGATGAGCCATCCCTTAACCAACGCCGTATAAACCTATCCTTGCAGTATATAACAAAACTATATTCTAACGAGTCTAACTCTGCATTTAACTGTGTCTTTAATCCATTTTATTAGGATTTGTGCAACAAAAAGTTTTCTCTTGTTCCATCTCTTGGCTAAGAGTTAAACCATTCATTTCTGTTCCAGGCATTGAGCTGGAAAATATATCTCCTTCCCGTCTTCTTTCTTCTCCTCCTTGGCAATTAATGAGGCCACAAGTTGACTAATGAATTACTAACTAACTAATGAATTACAATATATACAACCAATATAATCAATTAAAAAGTAAATATAATCCTTATTTACAGATGGGTCCAAGGATGGTGGCGCAGTTGCTTGTGCCACTGTCATTGGATCCCTAACACTATCTTCTAGAATACCGGATAACAGCTCTATCTTTACAGCAGAAGCGAACGCCATATTAACAGCTCTTAAATATATTCAAAGACACCCTAAAGATGAACAATGTATAATCTTTTCTGTCTCCATTTCGTGCCTTCAGGCTATTAAAAACCTATCCAGTACACATCCACTTTTAACTGAAATTATTGAATTATATAATGAACTTGCAACTGGCCAATGCGACATAGTCTTTTGTTGGTTACCCAGCCAATGTTGGCATTTCTGGTAACAGAATGGCTGATTTTGCTGCCAAAGCAGCACTCAACAAATATGTGACACCACTTCTCATTCCATACTCTGATTACAAATCTATCATTAGATCTTAAATCCGTGATCTGATGCAAAAGAAGTAGGACACCCAAGTAGGTATCAGACCAGATTTGAGGGGGTCATTATGCGGCGATGTCGCATTGGCCATGCTAGGTACACTCACGAATATTGACTCAAAGGTGAAGATCCTCTGTTTTGCATCCCTTGTGATGAAGGAATCACGATGAAGCATGTCCTGCTTCACTGTATTGATTTTTCCATCACAAAATTTAAATATTTCAATTAATTATCTTTTTTAAGATGTAAATTATCATGTAATAATTGGAATTTTAATAGAAATAGAATTATTAGAAAAAATTTTAACCAAATATTTTGTAAATAGATAAATGTTATTTTATTATAAAAGGTAGTATACATTAGCAACTGCGATTGTTAGTGGCTGTATCCTCAAAGGGGGTGAAAGTATCGTAAAATTATTGTCCTCCTGAGAGGATAGGTAATTTCCATGCTTTTAAAACGTAGAATATGTGTTAGTTTTGATTATGGCTAAATTTCCCTACCATCGCCATCGGCTGAGGGGATGGTGTAAATCCTGGTCCATGCTTGGTGTTATCCATACAAGTTGTTCTATATTGTACGTCTCAACTTTTAAAAATGACACTCAAACAAGATAGCAAAGGCACTGTAAGTCCCCATGGTCCTTAGTATGGTAATCTACCTTCAGTTGCTGGCGATAAGATTTTATATTGTGTTGTTTTGAAATGATTTAACATTTTACACTGAACTTAATCTAGTTTTTATTAATTTGTGATAATCTGGTCGTTATACTGTCCTTCGCTGCCAGATTTTTAAAAGGTATGAATATATTTTGTTCGTAGTACATAACTTTTTGTCATCACGATATGGCTGAAATATTGCCGATGTAACGTAAAATTTTAAATAACTCACTCAGTTCGAATAGCGAATTTGAATAAAAACAGGTGTTAATGAAGCAGATTCTTGAAAAAACTATCTGAGGCGAAGTATGATGATGAAAATTCCCGACAGATATGGGGACTATCCTGGATTAATGACATTCTTACAATATCGTAAAGTAGCGACTACTTCAAACATTGGCTAAAACAGTCTACGATTTCTCAATGATGACATTATGACAATTCTGGGGATAAAACCGTGCCGGAAATCTAGGTCCCGAACGTTTTTAAAATCATAATGTGCCTCAGTTCATACATACATTGGAGCCTTATTGATTTGAATGAGAGAGATCCTAGGGAAATCGCTCGGGTAATCAAATTTCCAAACAGACGATTTTCAAGAATATGGAACAGTCTTCTTTGAACATATTAAAGTCAATATTGTTTGTGCTTTTTTTTTTAAATAACGATTCAGACTGATAGGGCATGGCGACTAAGGATGATACGATAAGTCGATTCCTCTCCGAGAATATGAACCCTTTTTAAAACTGAAACTTTGACCTATAAGTATGTGAAAGGACATTGGTCAGTTATAATTCATCAACTGTTTGGCGGCTCTGTGGCCATAAACCAAGGAATAGGGGAAGCAGGAACAAATGACGATGTTCATAGGTTAGATTCGTGTCATCTCTCTTTAGTCGCTGTTGGTCATTACAAACATGATAAATCACAACTATACTTACAACCGGACGTTATGTACTTCCAGGTACCCCTTGTAGCAAGGTAGACTTGATGAACCCACAGGATAATGCAGCCACACCAACACCAGACGACCTTGGTCTGTCAGCAAATAACCTGTTGGAATTCCCACTGTCGGATAGCCCACTGGTTGATAGTGTAACTTCAACATCGCCCTCCCTGTATTCCCCTGTGGAGGAAACAAGTCCTGGGGTAAGTGTTGACACGACAACCCCTGAGAGGTTATGGTGAGCATTTTATAAATGTTACATGGCAGACATGCACAAACACAATTGTCGACCATCTTCCTGATGATATACATGTAGTGGAATACATGTATTTGAAAATATGCACGGGGTTTAAACAGCATGTTTACCCTTTAGCACTAGTTTCATCTATCTCTGAAAAATCAGCTTAACCGGTTGATTTAACAGCTGAGTGAGGTTATGTCAAACTGGATCGTTTTAGACTTTCATGGACCATTTTGTATGCAAAGTTTTCATCAAAAAACCCCTTCACCTATCCTTAATTTAATAATAAGCACCATTGAAGAGTATGTTTGTTTATCCCACATTCACTGACGTTGATCATGTTGTTATTTGTGTGCAATCACGCACAAATCTTTATTCATAAGAAAACAGATTTTAATTTTGACAGTGTTGATGTGTTGATGTTAGAATAGCATTTAGTGAAGTGCACTAAGGTTTACCTTTGCTTATATTCAGTTAGTATATATGGACGGGGTGGTGGTATGTTACAAAGGAGTTTATCAAAAGTGAAATAGGGAGCGCAGTTGTTCATGGACCAGTTCGAAATATTGCTGCTTGTGTTTTTGTTGATGGTTTCTATCTGGCAACTCTCGGAATATCAAGATTACAGAAACAACTTCATATTCGTGACTCATGAACAGACTGTATGGAGAGTTCGTACCTTTATTAGAGCATAATAAGTATCTATATATCTGGCATAGCCATACCTCTTAACACGATTATAAGGCTTTAATAAATGGTTAGGAATAGAGTTATTACTGCATGCACCAACGTGGTATGGAAGATGAATATCTTACTTGTCATAAGCTCTAACAATAATGGAAACCTCAGGACATTAACTATGAAAAATGTATTTCAATATCCAACCCTCAATATATTTCAAACACTTACCTGGAAAATGTAAAACACTGCTTGAGGAACTATGCATATTTATGTTGCAATGCTATGTGATATGACACAACAGCCATGATCATGACTTGACTCTTAGTTATGTAAACAAAAAACTTGTAAGAAAATACTATATGATTCGTGTTGCCTATCTCAAGACCTACACGTGAAACAAAATGTGTCAAGATGATGAACTTGATGGAATGATTGCATGCAATAAGTCACCATCGGCCCACATTACAGTTTACCTTTCATGATGAATTGTAAAACACTGTGATGAAAATACATGTATTCTCGTTTTTGTATAATTCATTCTTATGCTTTCTATCTCAATTCAACACATTTATTGAAGTTGACATGTCCTTGACGTGTTTGTTTTCACGAAATTTTTCAGAATGTTCAAACATTCCATTTTGTGGAATTGATACAACTACTGTCGAATTCTTTATATCTATATTACGTGACATGTATTCTAAGATTGGTTCTTGATTTTTTAATTCTTTGTGAATATCCTTTGAATGAGTAGAGTGCATGTTTCATTTTTAGTGGTTCTGAGTTGTTGCTTTGGAAATTACATGCCTCTGTGTACTATCACTAACAAATTGCACACCTTTCAATTTTTAAAACGTTTAGGGACCATTTGCCGTCCAGCCAAGAACCAAGAAGATTCTTCTTATAACAGACACAACACCGACTGATGTCAGTGTTAATGGTCAACCTGTAGATACAACCACATCTGTTAGTGGCAATAGGAATGGCAAGCCTATCTTTGTGACTGTTCTTGACATAACAGAGGGTGCACCCGTAACTATTACAACAACGGGGGGAGCAACGAAGCCGGAAGTATTTGAAGAAGTTGAAGGAGAGAAAATCCCTGGAACAGACAGCTTCAAGGTATTTATCCTTAGAAGATAATGCCAAACTGAAAACACCTTTATATTTATAACCATTTGCAGATTTAGCTGCTCTGATTTTAAGTTCTGTTTAACCAGGTTTATGCATGAGGTTGTGTTTGATTCAATAACGTGAACACATTATTCTTTCAGGTTCCTATCAATAAAGAGCTTTCGAGCATAATTGTGCCAAAGAACACTGATGTTGAAAAGATCGAGATCTGCGAACATTTAACAACAGGTGAGTATAAAACGTTTTACTTTTGGAAATACGTGTTATCTTTTACATTTTCACATATCATTTGCGTATGTTTAAATGGAGAAACATTCAGTGCGAATTATCAATATTCACATGTGAAACTATTTGTTATTTAGGCACAACAACCAGTGGAACGACAACCAGTGGAACAACAACCAGTGGAACAACAACCAGTGGAACAACAACTAGTGGTACAACCACCAGTGGAACTACAACAAGTGGAACAACAACCACAAGTGGAACAACTACAACTAGTGGAACAACAACCACAAGTGGAACAACTACAACTAGTGGAACTACAGGTGATTACATACGCACACTGAATAATCATATATTACACTACGTTACGTTTGAATGGTTACGGTTTAGATAAGCACTATCTCGGAACAGTATTTGGAACAGCAAATGTCGAGCTGGAACATAAAAAATGTAGTATAGGTCTTGTCAGAAGATAGTTGCACGTGTTGTGCATACAATATGTGGCATCAGATGTGGGAATCAATCTTGGTAACCTTATGATCCCTAGAACAATAGCAATGGATGCATCACTGTCATAATGTACATAAAAGAGCAAAAAGTTCTATACCGTTTTATTACTCACCCGTTGAAGATATCAATGTTTAATAATTTTACAATGTTATTACACATTGTGTAATAATATTACGTGCTGCCGTACGTATGACGTAAAACTGGCTTACAGTTATGACGTCACAATGCTAATACCTCTGTCACAATAGTATTAGACCTTGCTTTACTATTTTGCTAATGTTGGCTGAGTAATAAATAAAATACTAAACTATGTCCCGTGTAATACCATATTTATGAGACTCGTGAATGGTATTGGTATCTAACTCGCTTTCGCTGGTTAGATACCAAACCATTCACTCGTTTCATAAATATGGTATTATGAAGCCATCGTTTAGTATTCTCTATCTATATACCTAACAATGTGACAGACAGAACATGGTAGACACGTTATGGCATATTTGCATATTTTATGGTGATATGCCGATAGTGTATTTTAATTTTGTATATTTTGTTATTGATTGGTATCATGAGCAAAATCCTACATACATCCTGCATGCAGAATCTTTATTCTTGTAATAGAATATGCCATAACTACCCTTACACAACAAAATATGTTTGCCATAAAAGCCATCCTTTTAAAGGCAAGTAATGTTCTGATAAATAAGTGTAGTTTGGCCACACTGTAGCTATTAGAACTGAAATAATGTGCTAAATGTTACTTCTAGTTTTATTTCATTCATGAAATCATTACTATAGGGTCCTTTGGTTTTGCTGTCAAATTTGGTTTTGCTGTCAAATTTTTATTGAATTGCTCTATTCACTTAGTTGTCGATTTTTTAACAAAAGCAATTGTTTACTAGGTAATATTTAATTATTATTTACCAAATATTTATCTTTCATTTGTTTAGATAAGTAAGGTGTTTTTGTCAGCAATACATAACAATAACTTCTGTTCGAAATAAATTTACGTCATAGAAACAAACGTTACGACTATTTTATCACGTGTATATCTTTTAAGATTGGTAAAAATATAAGCCGTATATCATCAGCACATCAAGAATTAATCAGACGTCATTTTCGGTCTATAGTGATATCTTTTTTATGATAGCGTACTAGTTTTAGATTAAGAGCTGTGATACTCTAGTAGTTTTACTGTCCTTCAAAGAAAAACTATTCTCGTCATGATATGGCTGCAATATTGCCGATGTGACGTTAAACATGAACTCAATCACTCACTAAATTTCGACGATACAGCAATACGTTCAAGTCATGTGACCCTTTTGGAAACCATACCATGTGTTGTAGATGTACATATAGTGAATATTGCTGTAAATGTTCCTTGGATAGTGTCAATAAATAAGATCAAAGCCACTAAAATAATTTCACAAACATTTGAAGTTGTCAAATAATAGCTTTTTAGGCGGGTACCTTTCAATATCCGCTTATACTCCAAGGCAAATTTCGAAATCCCAAACAGTATGGTATTTGTGAAAACAGAAGACATTAGGCAGAAATCAGACCTAGAGGGGGCCCAAGAGTGTGGCGCGCATACATTAAAGCTGTCCGTAGTGTACACTGAAAATGACCTCTAATTCCAACCGGATTCCAATTGAATCTCCATACATTTTTGAGAACCTTAGGTCGTTACTCCCTTTACTGAATTATTAAAGTAGAGTTTTGACCCAGTTCAAGGTATTCATCCGATATTATGTTCCGGATAGGACAGGATGATAGGCCATCATAACGACTCCAGATGTAGAAACCTATGAGAAAAGCTTATGGTTATGCACTTCGTCAGAATTGTAGATTGATTGAAGCCGAAATTATCAACAAGGTGTATTAACATAAAATTTCATCAGAATACACTTTTAGTGTTCTATCGACTCCATAACAAAGGGGGTCGCCTTTGCCATTAAGAAAATTCTAATGCCAAATCTTTGCATACTTCCTCTGTTCAAAAGGTCAGTTTGAAATTTAGCCAAATCAAATGTCAGTGTTACGTCTTAAATGAAGATGAAATAGACTTACGGCAGGTAACAATAATAATCATGATAATAATAATGTGAACTTCTGTGGCGCTTAATTCCATACACCAAGTGCATGCTCAAAGCGCATACAAATAGACAGTTCACTATTACCCCGAATATCCCGCCGGGTACCCATATTCTGCTGGCTGAGCAAAGGTAATTTCGAACAAACTCACTTGCCTAAAGTGAGACCACAGTTGTCACATGTGCTTCGTTGTGGGACAGGACTGAAGTCCTAGAAACTCTCAGGAGTCAAGCTGCCTAACGTGGTCACCCATCTACAGGACCACACACCAAGAAGTTATCCTAAATTCACGACGTTCTTACAACATCGAAGGCTACAATCACTTCCAAAATAGGCTGAGACACTATGCGGGATGAAATCATGTAAAAATCGAGGCACCAAACATTCATAAAATCTCATGGTGCGTTACCCTATATATATTCTGGAGCTTTATTAATGTTAATTATACAGTTTTTGGTGAAATCGCCAGAGTCTTGATTGAACATATAAAAATAGACGTTGTTTTCAAAAAATGTTCGGAATGATCAGGCCCAATTAACGAGGTTAACTATGTAAGAACAATTGTTACTACGGATGATGCGATGAGTGTTTTTTCCCCCCGAGAATAATGAACCCTTATAAAACTGAAACTTTCACATATTAGTATGTGAAAGGAGCAGCTACCACAACATCGGTACAGTCATAATTCATCAACAGTTTGGCGGCTATGTGGCCATACACCAAGCAATAGGGGAAGCAGGAAAAAAGGACGATGTTGATAGTTTAAGATTTGTGTCATCTCTGTTTAATCGGTATTGGTCTTTACAAACATGATAAATCACAACTATACTTACAACCGGACGATATGTACTTCCAGGTACCCCTTGTAGCAAGGTAGACTTGATGAACCCACAGGATAATGCAGCCACACCAACACCAGACGACCTTGGTCTGTCAACGAATAACCTGTTGGAATTCCCACTGTCGGATAGCCCACTGGTTGATAGTGTAACTTCAACATCGCCCTCCCTGTATTCCCCTGTGGAGGAAGCAAGCCCTGGGGTAAGTTTTGACACAACAACTACTAAGAGGTTATTTCTTTGAGTGGCATTTTGGAAGTTGGGAAGTACAATTTAGAACAAACTTTATGGATAACAACTTCTTTTTATTCGTGAGGGCGACGTTTCGATACAGATTCTTGTACCATTGTCAATCATAATGGAACATGAAGAAGGGGGAAGTATATTATACTGGATGTAACAATGTAACAAAGAAAACAACATAATAAACATAATTGGCTAGGCAGAAAGCTGATGAAGCCAGAGAGTAGACAAAGGACAAGCGTGGAAGCCAATGATGTACAAATAATAATGAGATGTTTATACAGTAGATTGGGCTTGGCGGATGAGTGCATCATAAGCGGATGGAATGAGGTATCCTTGGTCTCGGTTGATGGTGGGCTTTAGGCGTTTGATGTGGATGGCTTCGGTGAGTTTGCGTTTAGTGAAGTCTGTTTGTTTGTTAGAGAGACAACAAACAGACTTCACTAAACGCAAGTAAACATCCAGTATATATATGCTTCCCCCTTCTTCATGTTCCATTATGATTGACAATAGTACAAGAATCTGTATCGAAACGTCGCACTCACGAATAAAAAGAAGTTGTTATCCATAAAATTTGTTCTATATTGTACTAAGAGGTTATGGTGAGCATTTTATGAATGTAACATGGCAGACATGCACAGTTGTCGACCATCTTTCGGATGATATACATGTAGTGGAATATGTATTTGAGAATATGCATGGGGTTTAAACAGCATGTTTTCCCTTTAGCACTAGTTTCATCTTCCTCTGAAAAATTCTACGATCAGCTTAACCGGTTTTCATCAAAAGCACCTTCAGCTATCCTTACGATCTTATGGAATTTAATAACAAGCACCATTGAAGAGTGTGTTTGCATATTCCACATTCACTTACATTGATCATATTGTTATTTTTGTCTGCAATCACTCAGAAATGTTTATTCAGAAGAAAACAGAATTTAATTTTGCTCATGTTGACCTTTGAATACCATTTCATAAAGTGCACTAAGATTTAACTTTGCTTATAGTATACAAGAACAAAGGAGGTAGTATGTTATAAGGGAAATTATCAAAAGGGAAACAGGAAGCGCTGTGATGAAAATACATGTTTTCACTTGTTTGTATAATTCATTCGTATGTTTTCTATCTCAATTCAACATATTTATTGAAGTTGGCATTTCCTTGATGTGTTGCTTCAACGAGATTTTTCAGAATGTTCAAACATTCCATTTTATGGAATTGATACAACTACTGTCAAATTCTTTACATCTATATCACGTGGCATGCATTCTAAGATTGGCTCTTGGTGTTTTAATTTTTTGTGAATATCCTTTGAATGAGTAGAGTGCATGTTTTCTTTTTAGTGGTTCTGAATTGTTGCTTTGGAAAATACACGCCTCTGTGTACTATCACTAACAAATTGCACACCTTTCAATTTTGAAAATGTTTTAGGGACCATTTGCCGTCCAGCCAAGAACCAAGAAGATTCTTCTTATAACAGACACAACACCGACTGATGTCAGTGTTAATGGTCAACCTGTAGATACAACCACATCTGTTAGTGGCAATAGGAATGGCAAGCCTATCTTTGTGACTGTTCTTGACATAACAGAGGGTGCACCCGTAACTATTACAACAACGGGGGGAGCAACGAAGCCGGAAGTATTTGAAGAAGTTGAAGGAGAGAAAATCCCTGGAACAGACAGCTTCAAGGTATTTATCCTTAGAAGATAATGCCAAACTGAAAACACCTTCATATTTATAACCATTTGCAGATTTAGCTGCTCTGATTTTAAGTTCTGTTTAACCAGGTTTATGCATGAGGTTGTGTTTGATTCAATAACGTGAACACATTATTCTTTCAGGTTCCTATCAATAAAGAGCTTTCGAGCATAATTGTGCCAAAGGACACTGATGTTGAAAAGATCGAGATCTGCGAACATTTAACAACAGGTGAGTATACAACATTTTACTTTTGGAAATACGTGTTATCTTTTACATTTTCACATATCATTTGCGTATGTTTAAATGGAGAAACATTCAGTGCGAATTATCAATATTCACATGTGAAACTATTTGTTATTTAGGCACAACAACCAGTGGAACAACAACCACAAGTGGAACGACAACCACAAGTGGAACAACAACAACCAGTGGTACAACCACCAGTGGAACTACAACCAGTGGAACTACAACAAGTGGAACTACAACCAGTGGAACTACAACAAGTGGAACAACCACAAGTGGAACAACAACCACAAGTGGAACAACAACCAGTGGAACTACAACAAGTGGAACTACAACCAGTGGAACTACAACAAGTGGAACAACCACAAGTGGAACAACAACCACAAGTGGAACAACAACCACGAGTGGGACTACAGGTGAGTAAATACAATTTTACTTTATAGCCACCTGTCGTAAACTTGGAGCTTAATGTCCCTGTAATTGGATGTGAAACATGTTAATTTCATGTTTTAGTTTCTTAACTGCATAGCTTCATAGAATTAAGTCACCGTGTTTGATTTCAATGGAACAGAACCTATTGCTCAGGATGCTCAGTTCTTTAAGATGTTACGATTCCAGTAGGCTCTAATCCTGAATCCTGTAGCGAACGTCAGTTACATAGTTTTTAAATAACTTTGTCCCTCTCTTTTGTCCACGTATTGTGATTTAACAAGGATTTTCAACACGCGTTGAACACAACTTGTATCATGTCCCTTAATTTCAGCCAAAGTGTGTGAGGACAGCGATTCTGAAAGCACAGTGACTCTCACTAGTGGTCCTTTGACTGATACAACAAACACAAGAGAACTTGTTCGGGAGGAATTCCAGGGACAGATAATGTCTATCGAAAGTCCAGGAACAGAACCTGTGAAGATTTTCACAATTGATCGTTTGCTTGTAAGTAACTGTACTTACGTTACATTGAGAATAAAATCTTCTTCAGTGTCTGGATAAGTACGCAATCACAGAACAATATTTAGTTAAATGACTGGAATGGTTGTTTGGCATTTGACGATATGTTTTCATAATTACAGTTTTATGTGTTCAATAAATACCAGATGAATTGACTCTGAATATATCCTGGAAACAATTCAAATTAACGTGATGTTTCTTTTAACATATGATTATGGAATGTAAGATACGAGCTCTTCCAAGCTGAACTTTCAATCGGAATATTAGCCCTTTTGGCAATACTTTTTATACTTATACATACATTCGTATTTAGAGTGAACTTGTGGTGTGGTATATTTGGCTGTTGCCCTTTTTGTGTCGAGAGTTGTCTCCAAACATAACATTTACACTACATAAACCCCTCGCCTGTGTTAATTTGCAGGCTGTCAATAATGGAGATCCAGTTACTGGACCTATATTTATTGAAGAGTCAACAGTAGGAACCAAGGTCACAGTCACAGGTAACTGGGGATAACTGGTTTCTTGAATAATACAAATGCCTCTCCATGGTAGACCTTAATTGGGGTAATTATATTCCCTGAACTAAACGTACATTTACTGAAAGCCAAGAAGAATTTTGTTCAGCTCCACTGCCCAGCCAGCCTTCCTCTGGTAATGGAGATGGGACTTCCCATGGGGAAGGCACAGAACCTGACCGAGAATATCTTGATCTAACTATCTTACAAACACACTACTTGAGTGTGCAACATATGCAAACATCATATTGTGATTATGAATGCCTGTGGCTTTGAGTCCGAGGTCCACCTCGGGGTGGTCCCTGAACATGTCCAGGGCGTCATGGAAAATAATGCTTTTAAGTTTCTTTGGAATAGACGCATATGCAGCCTCCTGTTACCAACTTGATCTTATCCTTTTTGATTAAGCCGATGACTCTATTTATATTGTTGAATCGCTTGCATCCCCAATACACTGTCGTCAGTCTCCCCATTGTTCTCGGGTTCGACTTGGCAACCCTCTCTGGGAGAAGTCCTGTTTTCTGTATGGGATGGGTGTGAAAGAGGCGAGGGTACCTGTACTGATAATGAGTCTAAGCAAACTGACTGCGCCAGGACAATAAACTCTCTTTTAATCTGTAAAACATAATGATAATATTACTTATATGGGATCAGATCATCAGTAACTGACATGATACATGTATATCCAACATTTTAATAATCATACTATTACTCTTTCTTGTCTCGTCATCAGTTGAAAGTGTCAGTTCCGTCATCTTACACAGGCACAGACAAACTGAACCACTTTTCACTTTTCTTCACAGCAGGGAACGCTGAAACGTTCAACGACAAGTTCACGGTTGTTGAGCCGGCTGGAATCGATCAAATTACTATATCGAGTTTAAGTCCTGGGGTCAAGATTTACTCACTAACAGAAGTGACAGACGCCGCTCTCCCACTGAAGGTGAGTATAATTTACTACTGACAGATGTTAACTAACTATAGCAGAATATGTGTTCTATCTAGAACTTGTTCAGAATTTTCGCACCTTAATACATTGTTGGAAATTCACTATTGGTGTCCCTTTGTCACATGGCAATTTCCAAAACAGGCTTGCAATCCAACTCGCTTTATCACTTTCGAATTTTCCTGGCTACTGTAACTCAATTATCTCAATTATGTTTAATAATATACTAGGCCAGTTCCTTTAGAAAACACATCACAGTGAGTATACACGATGTCTTGATGTCACGTCATCTATATCAAGTGAAACGAGGGTCTATATAGCCTTCTTTTTCATCTTTTAAGCAATGAATATTTTTGCCCCGTCCCTTCTTCTCTTCCATAGCGAGTAAGGGAGCATGGCAAATGAATGCTAGGACTGATCTCCAGAAAGGAAAAGGCTTTGTAAATTGACTGCCAGAAATAAAATAAGCGCCCAAACACAAATGGAACATTGCACGTGGACAATTATATTCTTCCATGCGCGTAGGTAGGAAAAGTCATCAAATCGCTCTGAGCCATTAGTATGGCTTATTTACATCATGCAGGGTAACATGAAAGCTAACTAAGGAGGGTTATTTGCATACTTCCAACTGGTAGAACTGGTAGAGAGAGAGCTAACCAGTATGTTCAATGTGTCTCAGTTTGTGATTTGAAGACTTAAGATAAGAGGCATAAGATGTCAGTGGTGCACATGGCGCGTTAGTTCAATAACACACATCCAGGCTCGACTTATCACAAGCTCAAAGAACCAATCAACTCGATGTACTCTTGTCCCAGGTTGCCTCTGCTATTAGCCAGACGGTTAGAAATCATATATTTTCTGCAAGTAAATTTGTCGGTGATGGTCTGTGAAGATCTCTCCTCTGCACTAACACCATTGCATATTGTCAATAGTGACAGTCACGTGACAGAACTATCATCAAGAAAACATGCCTGCACCAACTATTGTGCAGTTTGCACACAAGGATAGTCCACGTTTTGTCTCTCAGACGAAAATGTTCATGCTCACAAAACACGTTCCTAACTGACTTTCCCAGCAGAAACGCATTGCCATAATGCACTGACCACCATTAGGCCATAACCATTTCCTAGCAGAGCACTTCTGAGACAGTATCAGGTGACGTGCACGCCTATGTTAAAGACCTCAAAGGCAAGAGAAATGGTCAGCAGTCCGTTATTATGAGACTGTTTCGGACAATCTCATGTTGTAAAAAGAAACGTTTGACCATGCTTGCCCTTCCTTTTCTTTATACACCTATCACTATAACTCAATACCTGTATTTTTGTATAACTAATCCTTTTGGTTGCCGATTCTAGACGAGTCCAACTGGTTCAACGGAGCTCCTTGTCATTGCCAATAAAGGATTCTCATTCAACCAAGTCACCATTAAGGCATGTGTGAAGACCCTGACAAGTAAGTGTGTGGTCATATATCAAGAATTATCTCTATCGATTGCTAAATTTTACAAGTGCTTCAGTAAAACGATGTTCATCAGACCTGTAATTAACAAACCTTTTTAAAAAGCATAACATATATAATTATTATTCATCAGCCCTGAAACTAACAAACCTTTCGAAAGAGCATAAACTATATTTTTCACACCTTGGACCCACATTCCCACCAAAACAAAAAGTATATACAAACAAACTTCATCTTAGTTTTCTTTTTACACATTTGAATAAAATACTAAGTTGGAAAAGAGCATTTACTGCGTGTACAGTTGACAGGCATTCGTTTTAATCAATTTCTTTGCATAACTTCAGACATATCTTAGAGACATATTTAGTAGGTATATTCTACCATTATGAAACTTCCAACTGTCTATCATGTGTCATCACATCAACAAGGTGATCATTATCAGAGAAGACCTGTCTTATCGTCAAGCAAGCAGCGACGTCATAAATCTAACGGGATTATCTCCTATAAACGGCGACTCTGACTTGTCCTTCACGAGCTGAGAGGAGCCCACGAGCTCTGGGGCAGCCAAAGCAGTCCAATTTCTCGGAAACTTGCAATGTTAACTCAAAGTGTGTGTGAGATAAGAACAGGGATTTTTCGACAACAGAATTCATTGTATGACATCATAAAAAGGGGTTGTCATGCTTGTGTATTTGGGATGGTAATTATCCTGCATTAGATATAAATAATGTATTGAGCAAGCCTTCACAACAATGATATTTGCAATCCTTCATCGTCACAAAATCACAGTAAAAAGAGTGAGTAAGTGAGTTAAAATTTACCGTCACCTTGGCAATAATTCAGCAATATAGTGACGAGAAATGTTGTACATACACAATACATACAAGTAGTCAAATAACCAGTCATCGTAAAATAACTAGATTGTCACAAAAAGAGTTAGCCAGCTAGGATGTATTTTTGAAAGTAGAAAACTATGTTAAACAATACATTGTAAAAACGGGCTATTGATTGCCAACAACTGAAAGTAGACCACCATACTGGGGACAATGGGGATTAACAATGCCTTTGCTCCCTGCATGGACCCTAGTTGGATTTACACCATCACTTCAGCTGCTGGCGATTGAAAGCAAATTTAGCCACAATTAAAATGAAACTAATAGTACGAATAAAAGGTGGAAGATTAAATTTTACCTCGAATATTTTGGGACTTACAGTAAGAAGAGGGTGATCATCGATTCATAGTACATTAAAAAAACAACGTATACACAATGTAAGTTTAATCATGCATCTACAAATTTCTGATCAATGGTACGACGTAACTTGTAACATTTACCGAATCTCCGAAAAAAATGAATTTGAAACGATACTTAAACTTTAAAATTAGCTCAATCTGAGACAACTAGAAGCATAACCATTGGATCAACAACAACAACCAGTGGTACTACAACATCTGGAACAACAACCAGTGCTACTACAACACCTGGAACAACAACCAGTGGTACTACAACATCTGGAACAACAACAACAACTGGTACTACAGCATCCGGAACAACAACAACCAGTGGTACTACAACATCTGGAACAACAGTTACAACAACAACTGGTAGTACAACATCTGGAACAACAACTAGTGGTACTACAACATCTGGAACAACAACAAGCAGTGGTACTACCACGTCTGGAACAACAACAACCAGTGGTACTACAAAATCAGGAACAACAACCAGTGGTACTACAACATCTGGAACAACAACCAGTGGTACTACAACATCCGGAACAACAGTCAGTGGTACTACAACATCTGAAACAACAACCAGTGCTACTACAACGTCTGGAACAACAACAACCAGTGGTACTACAACATCTGGAATAACAACAACTAGTGGTACTACAACATCCGGAACAACAGCCAGTGGTACTACAACATCTGGAACAACAACAACCACTGGTACTACGACATCTGGAACAACAACCAGTGGTACTACAACATCAGGAACAACAACAACCAGTGGTACTACCACGTCGGGAGCAACAACAACCAGTGGTACTACAACATCTGGAACTACAACAACCAGTGGTACTACAACATCTGGAACAACAACAACCAGTGGTACTACAACATCTGGAACAACAACCACTGGTATTACTACGCAATCCGAAACAACAACCAGTGGTACTACAACATCTGGAACAACAACAACCAGTGGTACTACAACATCTGGAACAACAACCAGTGGTACTACCACGTCTGGAACTACAACAACCAGTGGTACTACAACATCTGGAACAACAACAACCAGTGGTACTACAACATCTGGAACAACAACCAGTGGTACTACAACATCTGAAACAACAACCAGTGGTACTACAACATCTGGAACTACAACAACCAGTGGTACTACCACGTCCGGAACTACAACAACCAGTGGTACTACAACATCTGGAACAACAACAACCAGTGGTACTACAACATCTGGAACAACAACCAGTGGTACTACAACATCCGGAACAACAACCAGTGGTACTACAACATCTGGAACAACAACAACCAGTGGTACTACAACATCTGGAACAACAACAACCAGTGGTACTACCACATCCGGAACAACAACAACCAGTGGTACTACAACATCCGGAACTACAACAACCAGTGGTACTACAACATCTGGAACAACAACAACCAGTGGTACTACAACATCTGGAACTACAACAACCAGTGGTACTACAACATCTGGAACTACAACAACCAGTGGTACTACCACGTCTGGAACAACAACAACCAGTGGTACTACAACATCTGGAACAACAACAACCAGTGGTACTACAACATCAGGAACAACAACCAGTGGTACTACAACATCTGGCACAACAACCAGTGGTACTACCACGTCCGGAACTACAACAACCAGTGGTACTACAACATCTGGAACAACAACCAGTGGTACTACAACATCTGGAACAACAACCAGTGGTACTACAGCATCCGGAACTACAACAACCAGTGGTACTACCACGTCCGGAACTACAACAACCAGTGGTACTACAACATCCGGAACAACAACCAGTGGTACTACAACGTCTGGAACAACAACAACCAGTGGTACTACAACATCTGGAATAACAACCAGTGGAACTACAATATCTGGAACAACAACAACCAGTGGTACTACAACATCTGGAACAACAACAACCAGTGGTACTACCACGTCCGGAACTACAACAACCAGTGGTACTACAACATCTGGAACAACAACAACCAGTGGTACTACAACATCTGGAACTACAACAACCAGTGGTACTACCACGTCTGGAACTACAACAACCAGTGGTACTACAACGTCTGGAACAACTACAACCAGTGGTACTACAACATCTGGAACAACAACCAGTGGTACTACAACATCTGGAACAACAACAACCAGTGGTACTACAACATCTGGAACTACAACAACCAGTGGTACTACAACATCTGGAACTACAACAACCAGTGGTACTACAACATCTGGAACTACAACAACCAGTGGTACTACAACATCTGGAACAACAACCAGTGGTACTACAACATCTGGAACTACAACAACCAGTGGTACTACAACATCTGGAACTACAACAACCAGTGGTACTACAACATCCGGAACCAACAACCAGTGGTACTACAACATCTGGAACAACAACAACCAGTGGTACTACAACATCTGGAACAACAACCAGTGGTACTACAACATCCGGAACAACAACCAGTGGTACTACCACGTCCGGAACTACAGCAACCAGTGGTACTACAACATCTGGAACAACAACAACCAGTGGTACTACAACATCTGGAACAACAACCACTGGTACTACGCAATCCGAAACAACAACCAGTGGTACTACAACATCTGGAACAACAACAACCAGTGGTACTACAACATCTGGAACAACAACCAGTGGTACTACCACGTCTGGAACTACAACAACCAGTGGTACTACAACATCTGGAACAACAACAACCAGTGGTACTACAACATCTGGAACAACAACCAGTGGTACTACAACATCTGAAACAACAACCAGTGGTACTACAACATCTGGAACTACAACAACCAGTGGTACTACCACGTCCGGAACTACAACAACCAGTGGTACTACAACATCTGGAACAACAACAACCAGTGGTACTACAACATCTGGAACAACAACCAGTGGTACTACAACATCCGGAACAACAACCAGTGGTACTACAACATCTGGAACAACGACAACCAGTGGTACTACAACACCTGGAACAACAACAACCAGTGGTACTACCATGTCCGGAACAACAACAACCAGTGGTTCTACAACATCCGGAACTACAACAACCAGGGGTACTACAACATCTGGAACAACAACAACCAGTGGTACTACAACATTAGGAACTACAACAACCAGTGGTACTACAACATCTGAACTACAACAACCCAGTGGTACTACCACGTCTGGAACAACAACAACCAGTGGTACTACAACATCTGGAACAACAACAACCAGTGGTACTACAACATCAGGAACAACAACCAGTGGTACTACAACATCTGGCACAACAACCAGTGGTACTACCACGTCCGGAACTACAACAACCAGTGGTACTACAACATCTGGAACAACAACCAGTGGTACTACAACATCTGGAACAACAACCAGTGGTACTACAGCAGCCGGAACTACAACAACCAGTGGTACGACCACGTCCGGAACTACAACAACCAGTGGTACTACACCATCCGAAACAACAACCAGTGGTACTACAACGTCTGGAACAACAACAACCAGTGGTACTACAACATCTGGAATAACAACCAGTGGTACTACAACATCTGGAACAACAACAACCAGTGGTACTACAACATCTGGAACAACAACCAGTGGTACTACCACGTCCGGAACTACAACAACCAGTGGTACTACAACATCTGGAACAACAACAACCAGTGGTACTACAACATCTGGAACTACAACAACCAGTGGTACTA